GCTGGTAGTTTCGAACCGCTGACCTTAAGGTTCGCAGCCCGATTCGTAACCACTACGCAGCTTACATAGACACGTTTAAATAATAATCACATCATACCATTGCTGTTGTTGTTATTGTTAAGTGCCTTCCAGTCATTTCTGACTCAGCTACCCTGTATAGGGTTTCTGAGGAGTGGCTGGTGAGCTTGAACCATCAACCTTGCTGTTCAAACCAACCTTGCAGTCTAGCGCATTAACTCACAGTGCCACACCAGGACTCTGCATGATAATATATGCTACATAAACAGTTTTATGATAATCACTTTTCACTTAATGTCACATCTTCCCACATCTGAAAGCATTTATCTTTATGATTTTTATTGGCCGCATGTTGTTGTTGTTGTTAAGTGCCATCGAGTTGGTTCCAGCTCATAGCAACCTTGTATAGGGTTTCCTAAGAGCGACTGGTGAGTTTGAACAATCAACACTGTGGTTCAAACCGACCTTGTGGTCCAGTTCTTATACTACTACCCCACACTAGGATAGTATTTATTCCATTTTATGAATGCATACAAATTCCTTAATTGTCTCTAAATAGGTGGGCATTTAGTTATCTTTTCATATTTTTTTTTGCATTTTAAATTGTGCTGTAATGATTATTTCTCTGAATAATTGCCTATAAGGAAATTGTTGTTATTAAGTGCTGTTTAGTTGATTCTGTCCCATAGTGACCCTATATGGGTTTCTGAGGAGCACCTGGTGAACTTGAACTGCTGGCCTTGCGGTTCAACCCAACACTGCAGTCCAGTGCATTACCCACAGCTCCATACCAGGACTCCATAAGGAAATGACTGAGACAAAAATTAATGTATTTTTAGGGTTTCTAATACGCGTTTCTAAATGGATCTTGAGAAAGGAAGAAAACATGTTCCATTGAACACTAAACTCAGTAGTCTAAAAGTGTTCTTGAAAAAAAAAGTTTAAATCCTAATGATTTTTAATTCCTTATCATGTAGTTAATGGTGACATTTCTTATTTTTTTCTTTTATTACTCTTTTAGTAAAATGATTTAAAGTTTTTAAAATGTACTATTTCATTATTAATTCATATTAATTTTGCTACTTACTTCCTATTTCTTTTCCCACTTTTCGCTAGGTTAATTTGTCTTTTCTCTCTCTTTGTTTCCCTCCAGGGTGGAAGTATGATGTGATGGATATAATTATGGGTTGCTCTGTGGGCACACGGCCTCCTCCTCCTTGCTTCATTGTCCTGCTTCTCAAGCTTTTTGCCACTGTCTCCCATGGGTTGCCAAGGACAGGGCCTCTGGGCTTCCACTTCACACATTCCATTTATAATGCTACTGTGTATGAAAACTCGGCAGCAAGGACCTACATCAATAGCCAGAGTAGAATGGGCATCACTTTGATAGATCTGTCCTGGGATATCAAATACAGAATAGTATCTGGAGATGAAGAAGGCTTTTTCAAAGCAGAGGAAGTCATCATTGCAGATTTTTGTTTCCTCCGAATAAGAACTAAAGGTGGTAATTCTGCCATCTTGAATAGGGAAATACAAGACAGCTATTTATTGATAGTTAAAGGTTCTGTCAGAGGAGAAGATTTAGAAGCATGGACCAAAGTAAATATACAGGTTTTGGATATGAACGACCTGAGACCTTTGTTTTCACCCACAACATACTCTGTTACCATCGCAGAAAGCACACCTTTAAGGACTAGTGTTGCCCAAGTGACAGCAACAGATGCGGACATTGGTTCCAATGGAGAATTCTACTACTACTTTAAAAACAAAGTTGATCTTTTTTCAGTTCACCCCACGAGTGGTGTTATCTCTTTAAGTGGACGCTTGAATTATGATGAAAAGAATAGGTATGATCTGGAAATTTTGGCTGTGGACCGAGGGATGAAACTCTATGGAAACAACGGAGTGAGCAGTACTGCAAAGCTTTATGTTCACATTGAACGGATAAATGAACATGCCCCGACGATCCACGTAGTCACTCATGTTCCCTTCTCATTGGATAAAGAGCCAACATATGCTATCGTGACTGTTGATGATCTAGATGAGGGGGCCAATGGAGAAATTGAATCTGTTTCCATTGTGGCTGGGGATCCTCTAGATCAATTTCTCCTGGCAAAGGAAGGAAAGTGGCTGAACGAGTACAGGATTAAGGAGAGAAAGCAGGTTGACTGGCAGAGCTTTCCCTATGGCTATAATCTCACTCTACAAGCAAAAGATAAGGGGTCACCTCAGAAGTTTTCAGCAGTAAAGGTGGTCCACATTGCCAACCCTCAAAGAGACAGTATCCCAGTAAGATTTGAAAAAGAAGTGTACGATGTGAGCATTAGTGAATTTTCCCCTCCTGGTGTAGTGGTTGCCATTGTAAAATTAAATCCTGAACCGCTAGATGTGGAATACAAATTGTCTCCTGGTCAGGATGCAGAGTACTTTAATATTAATCCTCGGTCTGGTCTGATTGTCACAGCACAGCCACTGAAAACCATTAAGAAGGAGGTTTATAAACTGGGGGTGACGAATAAAGAAGGAGATTTAAAAGCACAAGTCACCATCGGCATAGAGGACGCAAACGACCACACTCCAGAATTCCAGCAGCCATTGTATGATGCTTTCGTGAATGAAAGTGTTCCTGTTGGAACAAGCGTTCTGACAGTTGCTGCTTCTGATAAAGATAAAGGAGAAAATGGATACATCACCTATAGTATTGCCAGCCTGAATATGCTACCATTTGCCATTAACCAGTTTACAGGTGTTATTAGCACAACTGAAGAATTGGACTTTGAATCCTCTCCAGAAAATTACAGGTTTATTGTAAGGGCTTCTGACTGGGGTTCGCCATACCGCCATGAAAGTGAGGTAAATGTGAGTATTCGGATAGGAAATGTCAATGACAATAGTCCTCTTTTTGAAAAAGTTGCTTGCCAAGGAGTTATTTCATATGACTTTCCAGTTGGGGGTCACATCACAGCTGTCTCAGCAATTGATATAGATGAACTTGCACTTGTAAAGTACAAAATCATCTCTGGAAATGAACTTGGCTTCTTTTATTTAAACCCAGACTCTGGTGTTTTACAGCTTAAAAAGTCACTTATGACTTCCGGCATTAAAAATGGAAATTTTGGCCTCAGGATCACAGCAACTGATGGAGAGAATTTTGCAGACCCCATGTCTGTGAACATTTCAGTCCTACATGGGAAGGTGTCTTCAAAGAGCTTCAGTTGCAGAGAAACTCGTGTGGCTCAAAAGCTGGCAGAGAAACTGCTCATTAAGGCAAAAGCGAATGGGAAACTCAATCTGGAAGATGGATTTCTTGACTTTTATTCAATTAATAGGCAAGGACCACACTTCGACAAGTCTTTTCCTTCTGATGTGGCTGTGAAGGAAGATCTACCAGTTGGTGCTAACATCCTGAAGATTAAAGCCTATGATGCTGACTCTGGCTTTAATGGGAAGGTGCTATTTACAATATCGGATGGAAATACAGACAGTTGCTTTAATATTGATATGGAGTCTGGGCAACTTAAGGTCCTTATGCCTATGGATCGAGAGCAAACAGACCTCTATCTCCTTAATATTACCATCTATGACTTAGGTAATCCACAAAAGTCTTCATGGAGGTTGTTGACCATCAATGTGGAGGATGCCAATGACAATAATCCAATTTTTCTTCAAGACAGTTACTCAGTTAACATCCTTGAAAGTTCAAGTATCGGTACTGAGATTATTCAAGTGGAAGCCAGAGACAAAGACTTGGGTTCCAATGGTGAAGTGACTTATTCAGTCTTGACAGATACACAGCAGTTTGGCATCAATAGCTCAACTGGAATTGTTTATGTAGCTGACCAACTGGACCGGGAATCTAAATCGAACTACTCTTTAAAAATAGAAGCCAGGGACAAGTCTGAAAGTGGTCAACAACTGTTCTCCGTTGTCATTCTTAAGGTGTTTTTGGATGATGTCAATGACTGCTCTCCCGCTTTCATTCCCAGTAGCTATAGTGTGAAGGTTCTTGAAGATCTCCCCATTGGCACCGTCATTGCTTGGCTGGAGACCCATGATCCAGATCTTGGATTGGGAGGTCAGGTGCGCTACTCCTTGGTCAATGATTATAATGGGAGATTTGAGATTGATAAAGCAAGTGGTGCCATACGCCTGAGTAAAGAACTTGACTATGAAAAGCAGCAGTTCTATAACCTAACGGTTCGAGCCAAGGACAAAGGGCGACCTGTCTCTCTCTCATCTGTTTCCTTCGTTGAGGTGGAAGTGGTGGATGTTAATGAAAACCTCCATACCCCATACTTCCCTGACTTCGCTGTTGTTGGATCTGTAAAAGAAAACTCACGCATTGGAACAAGTGTGCTGCAGGTGACTGCTCAAGATGAAGACTCTGGGAGGGATGGAGAGATCCAGTACTCCATCAGGGATGGCAGTGGTCTTGGAAGGTTTAATATAGATGACGAGAGCGGTAAGTTTAACATTTTGTGCAAAAGTGTTGTTTCACCTTTCGGATCATTAAAATTGGAAAGGATATTCTGGCAGTAAAATAGAATGATGAATGAGGTTGTTTTTGATGCAGAGCTGATGCAAGTTAAATCTTCCTCTTAGAATATGCTGTTTTTTAAGAAGATCTGCAATACAGTAAAGTCTTGGATTTCCTTGGAAGCCCCTGCATTTTTATCCTTCATTATTACTGCTACCAGGTTATCTTTTGATAAGCATAAGTAATTGTCACCTCTGTTGATTGCACTTTTGACCTTCACTTAATTAAGTGTCTGGATAAAGTAAATTACATTTGAATTGGTTGTAAATTAGAAGTGTGAAATAGATTTTCAATGGATTCGCATATGAATCCTTCCCAATACAGCAATGTTTTGCTACAGTGATGTTGCATTAGTTACTTGACTCTTTCATGTTTCCTACGCGTGATTGGACCTGGAATAACATAATTCACTCTGTGTGTGCTTAATTAATATGTCGTTGTTGTTGCTACGTGCTATCTAGTCGGTTCCGACTCATAGCGACTTGGTATGGGGTTTCCAAGGAGTGGTTGGTGAGTTTGAACTGTCAACCTTGTGGTTCAAACCTACCTTTCAGTCCAGTGATTTATACCACCATGCCACATGTGCTGTCAAGTCAAATCTGACTCACGTGTGACCTTGTGTAGGGTCTTCTAGGAGCAGCTGATGGGTTTGAACCACCAATCTTGTGGCTAGCAGTCTAGTCATTACCTATAGTCCAGTACCACGCTAGGACATTAATACAAGGGAACTTCATAAAGCTCAGGGGGCAATCCATTATCTTTTAATTCCATTTCTTGGCAAACATTTTTCAAGACTAGAAGATGTGTGTTCTTGATTCTATTTTTAAAACTGACTTAAGATTTAATTATTTATAAGAATTGATTTTTATAGGAAATGCTTTTGAAAAGAAGGCAAAATTACTTCAGTCCTTTCTTGTCCCCATCTACTGACTTACTGTCCATCATAGATATAGACATGGACTTTTTTTTTCCCTATGCCAGTCATTGTCATTTTTGTTGAGTTGGTTCCAGCTCATAGCAACCCTATAGAGTGTTTCCAAGGTGGATTTAATCTTTTGGTTAACAGTCCAGTGCTTATCCTACAATGCCACACCAGCACTCCAATCACTGTCATTATTTGTCTTTAAATGTACATTTGTTTGGACATGTGTGTGCCTGTATGTCTCTTTATAAGTGGTGTACATTTCTCTTATCATCTTTTGATTGTAGACATATCAAGATTAAGGGCTATGTCTTCTCTATTGTCATGTAAATGGTAATATTAGCACTTTATACTTTTCAAGGTACATTGCATACATCAAATCATTTTCCTATAGTACTTATGGGATGCTTCACTCCCAATGATGATGATGATGGATAAGTTATGGGACTATGTCATTATAGTGATACAAACTATATATCAGCAATACTAGAAAAAGAAATTTGAGAAATTGCATTACATTTTAGATGTGAGTTATAAAACTACATGCACCATCTCAAAGTTAAACTGCAATTTTGAACATAATAAGCTCTAATTATGGCCAGTGTAAAATGTAAAATTTCGTTTTCATACTAGAACAAAGGAAAAGAGAGCTAGATGTTAGCATAATTGGGTCCTGATTTAGCCACATACTATGTTTTATGAGTCATTCATTTGGAATGGATGTCCATATTTGAAACATGAAATAAGAAAGGAAAGCAAGTCATCTTTACTGAGTGGTTATTCTGTACTAGTACTTTACTATTATTAAAAATAACTTCATTTAATATTTAAACTAGGCAATCTAAGTGTCTCAATATCCCCATGAAGTAGAACTAATAATCATCAACTGGAAATTGAGATTTGGAGAAGATACACAACTTGGAATCTAGATTCAAAGTCAAGTGTCTGGGTAGTGCAAAGTGTTAAGTCACTTAACTGCTAACCAAAAGGTTGGAGAGTTACCTTAGAAGAAAAGTATCTACTTCCAAAAAATGAGCTATTGAAATACCTAATAACACAGCTCTACTCTGACACATGTGGGGCCACTCCATGTGTGTGGAATCAACTTCATGGCAACTGGTAAAATTTCAAACGTAGCACTAAAGAATATTATGTTATCTCTGATCTAAAGAGAAACGTATGTTTTCTTTCATGCTTCTAGGTACCCTTGAATTTGATGCTGATCTCAAAACTGCAATGGGCTAGACTCATTAACTGCTGGTATTAACCATTAATCATCGTCTCTTTTGCCTCACATTTTATTGTTTACGTGTTTCTCCCTTGACCAAAAGCACAATTTTGACTCAGGTCGATGTGGCTAGTAGAATGGTCAATAAATAGGAAGGTGTCCAGATGAATCATTTACCACTGCTATCTAGGTGCCTACATCAAGCTACACTGAGTTGGTTTTCTTAAGAAATTGCACATTAGTCTTGCTTGATGTGGTGAAGGGCAGGCACAATTTGATGAGAGTGGCCTAGATTTCTCTCATTGGTACTGTGTTATTTATTTTAGGAAATAGTTGTATAGGTTCATCTGATGATAAAACTACCTTTCTAATTCTTGATTCCATGAGTTCAGTGTCCTTTGCTTGTGTTGAAGAAAACAATTAACTGCTCTGCATTAATTTCACTATACTTTAGATTGTAAAAAAGAAATTTGCCATCAGTGACCATAATGCCACTTATATTTTGGTATTTTGACATTGTTTTGTGACTTTGAGTACTCTTTCCTATAAACATAAACTCCTTTGTGCTAAAGGGTAATGAAATGAATTGTGTGGTAGGATAAGCTTTGGATTACTAACCACAGGTCAGTGGTTGAAACTTACCAGCTGCTTTCGAATACCCCCTTATATAGCATTGCTATGAGTTGGACCCTACTCAACAGCACTTAACAACAACAAATGAGTTGTGCAAGCTATATCCAATAAAGTATATTGCTAGATCTAGAACCCACATTTCCTTGATCCAAATCTAATGTTCTATTCTTTACATTCTTAACAAATAATTTTGGTTTATTTTCCTATAGAATTTAAAATTTTTGCATCTGTAGTTGTTGTTATTGTTAAGTGCTGTTGAGTCGGTTCTGACTCATAGTGACCCTGTATCGGGCTTCCGAGGAGCAGCTGGTGGGTTTGAACTGCCGATCTTGTGGTTCACAATCCAGTGCTGATCCTATAGTACCACACCAGTAGCTATTTGTTTTTCCCACTTTCCTTAGAAGATGACACTGCAGTTTCCTCTACAGTATAGAAAAAATGGTTTTGATTGAGTGTTGAGATCCTTTATGAAGACTAGATTTTCCATATAATGATATTCGTATCCACCTTATGTCTTTCGCTCTAAGTATTGAAGTTTTTAACAACCATATTTGAGAAGATGATGATCAGTGAAGGGATACAAGGGTTGAGGAGAAGGCTGACAGTTGGATTTCCAACAAGAGAAGCCAATCCTGTGTTACAGTTGGGTCCATACTGTTGTTGAATAATCCACCAGCTGTTTGCCTTCAACTGCTAAAAATTATGCATAAATGTTTATCCCTGAATTTATTATTGAGTCTCAATTTCAGACTATTCTTTTCACTTGACCTTTGGACATAAAATGACTTAAACTTGTTTGAATCTTGCCTTTGGAGTTTTTTATTCCAGTCATCTGCCAACGGTTATTTAAAGGATCCCTGGTGGCACTACAGCATGAACACTAGACTGCTAACCACAAGGTTGACAGTTCAAACTCAGCCTTTCCATGTGAGAAAGATGAGGCTGTCTGCTTCTGTAAAGGTTTAAAGTCTTGGAAACCCTATATTTGTTTGCTATGAGTTGGAATCGACTCAGTGGCAGTGGATTTGCTTTTGAGGATTAGCTGTTCTCACTCTTTGGAGTGCATAGGAATAACCTAAAGTGTTTGTTAACAGTGCATGTTTCTCAGATTCCCAAAGATTCTAAAACAGTATCTCTAGGGTGAGAGTTCAGGCATCTTCAGTGAAATACTAAACATTCCTTCTGCTTGTGGCTTGAAAACACTACCTTAAATATTCTTTTCTGTAAAGTCTTTTTCCTTCTTCTTTTGAATAGCAGAGAATTGAGCCTGTGCTTTTGAACAATTTCTTTTCTAGTCAATTCTTTCAATCCAAATACATCATTTATAATTCATTACTGGTGGCATTTTTTCCTGAGTGCCTTCCCCAATGGAACTAAAATCTATTTCTGTGTTTCAGTAATTATGTGCTTCTGTTTTGTGAAACTGCCTATGCTAAGATTAGTTGATGCATTTAGTCATTTTATGTTCCTGACTTAATTTTGACCTCAGTGAACAAAACCATACCTTTGACGTTCTTTACCATGTACAGGCATTTATTAAATGTTTAATAATGTGTACTGTAAATGGATTAACTGGGGGGTGCCCAACTACAGTGGATTTGATCACAGTTTAAGTCACTAGTCTGGAAGATACAATTGAATCTTTTTTTTTTCTTCACAAAGAATACATACATACTTTGCCACAACAGGACTTCATATTCGTGACTACTCAAAGGTTTCAGAAGGTTTAGAAAGAGCACATTATATATTTTAAACTGTTGTTTTCCATTATATTTTTTGTGTGTATGTGTGTGGCTGTAAATTTGAGAAATGATTTCACCATTTTATTCCCCTGAGGTTAATTAAAGAAATGTTTAATTGGGAGAAACATTTTCCAGTTCAGCACATTAATCAGGGATAATTGGGAAGATATTTTTGCCATCTATTATTTTTAATTTATTATCTATTCCATTTACTCAAATATCTCGTATATGCCAGCCCCTATGCTAGCTGCTTTTCAGGTATTGTTTCTGATTTTCATTGTACTCCTGCAAGGAAGGGTTTATGGAGTTTTGCCTAATCACGGTCACACACTTGGTAGACCTGGAATTTGAACTCACATGAAGTGGTCTGCAAATCCCATGTTTCCCCTTGAACTCCACC